GTGAGACTCTGTCTCTACAAAAAAAAAAAAAAAAAAAAAGATCATAGTTCCTACCTGTTGTTAGGATTAGGAAGCTTAAATAACATTGTGGCTCCTACCAAATCAAAGATAGAAAATGTTTTATCTTTTCTCTTGGAATTTATTTTTTTGTGCTAATTAGAGGAATGATTTATTTTTCCAAAATGAAATAAATACAAGGTATTTGATGTATTCACTTACTTTAATAATAATACATATACGTTATCACCATGGAATATAAATTCAGATTAGACAAGAGAATTTCACAAGTGTAATAAAGCATTCTGTAGTACATCAAGGTTTGTGTATAATGTCCAGTCAAACCAAACCAGCTTGTTCATGAATCACTAATCACTCCCATTATAGACAATTTGTTTAGTTTAACATGTCTAATACTTCCAGAGAAAACAAATATATGCACTTTAAAAAATTCTTCATTTACCTATGAGTTAGTGCTTAAAATACATATTTCTATCTCAAGTTTACATTTAAAAATTATAACAGCAGCAAAAATATAATTTTGCGATTACAAAAGAGCTAAACTAGAATCCATAATTAAGTTATTTTCATGTTTACAATTTTGATTCTGAAATAAATACTACCACCATGCAGCTCTGTTGTAAGCTTTCTAGGTTTGGTTTAAACACATACACATACACTTTCAGTTGTGAGAGGCTTTACAAATTACATTCCATGCACTTTTTAAAGAGTTCTAGAAACAGTCAACCAGTCCCCAAAACTGAAGTACTTAACCAGTACACAAGGTAGGCAGAAAAATGTTAAATTAACTGAGATAAATAGGACTCCTACATAACATTTAATATTCTGTAGCAAACCGTGAGTACTTCAGGTTTGGTGGGCTATCTGTTGTAGAACTAATTTCATTTAACGATTTAAGAGGGTGGACTAAAATTTTAACACTATCAAGTGCATTTAGGTGACACGTTTCTTTTTGTGTTAACTTGATTCCCCTGCATGACCTAGTGAACTAGTCACCAGTAATTTGGTCACCAGCCAAATCAACCCCAAGAAAGGAAGCCAATATTCAAAATATCATATTATTGTCTGAACCCATTCAAATAATTTATTTTTGACACAGATAAGTAACCTCAATAACTAAAACAAACTCCTCACCCAGGAGGATAGCTTGAGGCTTTGTCTCAAAAAAAAGAAGTTATCTAGTCCATGCTCACATTTCAAAGATAGGGAAAGATTAAGAAAATTCTGATTTGGTTCAGGTTTATACATATACAGTCAGTGTGTGAGTTGCATTACAACCTCTAGTCTAATTCAAAAGAGTAGATTGCTGTCCTAAAGGACAATTCCATCTGGTCTAAACCACAAAAAAAAGCATAACCAAGTGCTCAGTTCCAGAGGCTGGACAGCATAATGAATATAGGTTGCTAAGCTAGACTACCCAAATTCCAGAGCCAAACCGACAACTTTCTCTAGCTATGTGAACTTGGGCAAATTACTTAAGTGGCTGATGCCTCAGTCTTCTCATCTGTGAAATGAAGATCATAGTTCCTGGGAGGCGCCTGTGGCTCAGTGAGTAAGGCGCTGGCCCCATATACCGAGGGTGGCGGGTTCAAACCCAGCCCCAGCCAAACTGCAACAAAAAATAGCCGGGCGTTGTGGTGGGTGCCTGTAGTCCCAGCTACTCGGGAGGCTGAGGCAGAAGAATCGCCTAAGCCCAGGAGTTGGAGGTTGCTGGAACCACTCCGCTGCACTCTACCGAGGGCGAAAAAGTGAGACTCTGTCT